GCCGAGGGCGAGTTGGAGGCAGAACTCAAGCGTCTCGGCGGTACAGGCGACGCCAGTGTCAAGCAGCTGCTGGGCAAAGGCTACCGCGACGTCGTGCAGCTGGTGATCCGCCCCAAGCGAGCGCTGTACGACGTTCACGAGCTCGGCCCCGAGCGCTTCCAGGTCGCCGAGCTGTCGGTAGATCCCACACAGGACAACGTGACGCAGGCCAGACGCAGAGACTTCGACGTGCTCAATGAGCGGGGTTTGCGTGTGCGCTGTTCGCACTGGCAGCTCTTCGCACAGGGCAGCAGCACCCCGGCTGTCACGCCGTGTCTGATCTACCTGCACTCCAACATTGGCTCTCGACTAGATGCACTGCGTGTGCGTGATGCAGCGTTAAAACGCGGCTTCTCCGTACTGGCCTTCGACTGCTGCGGCTCTGGGCTGTCGGACGGTCTCTATGTGACCATGGGCTGGAACGAATCGCTGGACCTGTTTGCTGTACTGCAGACCCTCGAAAAGGACGCATCCGTGTCGGATATTTGTCTGTATGCGCACAGTATGGGGGCGTTCCCTGCTATCGCCAACCTTGCGCTTCGAGCGACCGGAGCGGCAGACAAGAAGATGCAGGCCAAGCTCGAGACGTTGCCGTATGCCCTGCGAACTGGTCCAAAGCTGTTCAAACCTATTCGGGCGATTGTACTGGACAGTGGGTATGCGTCTATGAAGGAAGTGAATGAAGGAATCCTGCGTGAAATGCAACAAGAGGGTTTTCCTGTGCCCAAGACGGTGATGAAAGTGGCTGTAGCTGCCATCAACAAGAGCGTGAGGAAACGCACTGAAGTCGATATCGAGCTGCTGCGGCCTGTGGACTTTGTCGAGCTCTGCTACGCCCCCGCACTCTTCGTGGCAGCCAACGATGACAGGTATGTGCCCAAGGAGCAGAGCCACGAACTTGCTAGCAAATATGCTGGACCGGCCAAGATTCTTCGTGTCGAAGGCGAACACTATGATCCACGCGATGCGTCCGCGTATACGAAAGCCGCCGACTTCCTGTACGACTCACTACATCCCAAGCCGTAGACAGCAATGGTATAAGCAGTTGTGTGTTGGTTCAAACAAATAAAATAGATACTAGTCCGTCCTTTAGCAGCAGTGGTGTTGCATGGAGAAGTCGTACATGACGTCGACAAAGTAGTCGGCAGTCGAGTCGTCGCTGTCGTACAGATCCATGAACCGAATGTGTCGCGCAGGAGAGGCCTCCGAGCCAGAGCTGCACGTGTAGTCGTCCACGAAGTCGTACTCCATCATGAGCGCTCGCTCTTCACACGCTTCCCCCGCCTCTTCACTGCGTTGACGCTCCAGTCGTCGAGCTTCCACCTCGTCCAGTTCCGCTTCGATCTCGCCCCGGTAGTATTGACGCAACTCGTGCAAAGAATCAAACGGAATCGTCCCCAGGAAGGACTTGTCCATTGCAAGGCGAATCAACGTATCGCACACACACTCGTCACGGTTCAGCAGACCCGACCGGTAGGGCGCCGTCAGCTCTTGTAGAGTCTCGTGCGAGACTTTGAACATCTCGTACACGTCCAGTGCGTCGTCACACGCCATGATGCGAGGTTGGTTGAGCTTAAGTAGCACAAGCCCCACTCGTAGTAATACATGGCTACCTTCACAGAAGAACACGTCCCATATCCGCATGACAGGCTCAAATGGGAGTGTGTTT